GTACATTTTTTAAAACCTCGGGAGTATACGGAACAATTTGCCTATATAATAAAGTTAAAAAAAAAAATTCAATACTCTTACCAAGGACAAATCAAATAAAATAAAATTGATTTAAAAAAAAATTGCATAAGGGGATGTTACTTATCAATTAATCACCTACCCTCACAATATTTTCGTTTTCTTAATCACCTCTGATCTCTGATTATATGATTTATATCCACTTTGTTCTTACGCTCACCTAGGGGTGAAACAAATTTGGTTTAAAACCAAACCGAACCGAAAACCGAACCGAATTAGGAATATGGTTCGGTTTTTTTCTTAAGTGGTTCGGTTTCGGTTTGTAAAATCAAGAAACCGAAATTGTATGGTTCGGTTTCGGTTTCGGGAAATGAAAACCGAAACCGAACCGAATTTCGGCCCATACTATATAAGGCAAAAAAAAAAAACCCTAATCACTCTTCTCAGCCTCTCACTCTCTCCTCTTCTCTTTCCGCCCTTTCTCTCTCCTCTAATCCTCTTCTCTTTTCTCCATTTGTGAGCTTTCTCCCTCTCGGTTCTCTCTTTCTCCTTTCCTCTTCTTATCTTCTCCAATCTCTAGTTCTCTACTCTGTCCTTTCTCTCTCCTCTTCGATCTCTTCTCCACTTTCACTCTCTTCTCCTCTTCGACAGTACGACCAAGGAGGCAAGGACGACCACCTGGGCACCAGTGTTCACATTCTAAAGGTTTTAAAGGTCAAATTCGACCATGAAAACACTAGATCTAGTGTTTTCATGGTCGAATTTGACCTTTAAAACCCAAATTCGAGGTTTTTCGGTGGAATGTGAGGTATGTCCTCTTTTTCTTTCTTTTAATTTGGTTTGAGTTTTTTATTTTTATGGTGGTGTATGATTGAATTGTGGTGGTGGTAGGTAGTTTTGGGTGGGTTTCGGGTGGTCAGGATGGATGGTGGGTTTCTTTAGTTTTTGGTGGGTGGAGGGGTGGTTTTTGATGGATTCGGGTTGATGCATGATGAGTGGGTTTCGGGTGGTTTTTGATGGGTTAGGGTGGATGGCGGGTGGGTTTCGGGTGGTTTTGGGGGATGGGTGGTGAGTTTCGGTGGTTTTGGTAGGTTAGGGTGGGTGGTGGGTGGGTTTTAGGTGGTCAGGGTGATGGGTGGTGGGTGGGTGTTGGTGGTGATAAGGTGGGATGGTAATAATTAATACCCTGGATTGGTTTGGTTTTGTTTGGTTCGGTTTTAATTGGTTTGGTTCGGTTCGGTTTTTTTGCAAAATTTGATGTTCATGAGGCTTGATAGGAAAATTCGGTGCGGTTTGGTTTTTTTTAAGAAAACCGAAATTTAGGTGGTTTGGTTCGGTTCGGTTTCAAAGAGAAAGTGGTGCGGTGTGGTTTGCAAAATCAAGAAACCGAAATATGGTGGTTCGGTTTCGGTTTGGGCCAAAAACCAAACCGAAAACCGAACTTTCACCCCTACGCTCACCCACTCTTTTACATTATTTTTCTTTACTTTATTAACCACCTTTTTCTTACATTTACCCACACACTTCCAAGTTTTCTTAAAATTAACACAAATTGTATATATCTTAACGTCATATGGAAACAGCGGTAATAATTATCAGCTTAGTTGAAGTTTTTGCACCTTAATTAAGGCTATGTTTGGTTCACCTTATAATTATTATTTATGCTTTTAAATTTAAGTTAAGTCTGATCAGATTAAAAAATACTACCTTTATGAATTATTATGTGTAACTTTGGGTACTATTTATAAGATATAAAATATTTTATAGTTGCACATAATAATTTACGGATATAGTCGAGAAAAGCATAGAGGTCGATGATAGAGCGTTCCTACACAGGTTCACATTTGATCCAACATTGTTCATATGCAATTAAAGCTGATGTTCTTAAATTAGGGAAAATATATACAAGTTAATATCCTATATTAACAAGTTTTGTTAATATAGGGGTGCTCTTGTCCTTTCATCTTTTATTTTGGGGACAAATCTGTAAAGTTATACAAAGTTCTACAGGGACCACTAAACAGCCGTCTAACTCACCATTGCACTCCATTAACGAGGAATTTAGGCTCTGTCTTCTTTTGGGAGAGGCGATTTTGACGTAGGAAGATTAGCTGTTCATTTCGACAAAAAAGTTCAGCGTCGGAAAGTTTGATTTCAATTTTTAGGGGTTATGATTTCTACTAGTCGGACTCCCGGAGTCAGATTGCTTAATAAAATATATTTTCGGAAATGGAAACGGGCCAACGAGTCCAAACCATAGCTATGATGTAGGCGACAGACTTTTAAAGCCATCTGAGTTTGTTTAAGGCCTGAAAATAGCATTTGAACATTTTCCGAATTTTATTTTTTGCTTATTTTTGTATTAGGGCTTTGTTTAGACTATTTAAACGTTTTAGCCGTCTTTATTATTCAGCTTTTGACATTTTAATATTATTCTTAAGGGTTTTACTCTTTTATGGTGGATTTCGGAGTTTTTACAGATTTATCGATTGTAAATCTGTTTTTTCATATTAGGAATTGCGCTGGTTTTTCCTCCGATCATTCCGACTGCGTCAGATTTCCATTGAAATTTCATCTCATGCACCATTTTAAGCAAAATCATAATCAAAACCAATTTTGAAAATTCATAAAGACATAAACCACCATATTCATATTCATAATATACATATTAAGGGCATGCCTGGAATTCCAGAAATTATGAAGGGGGTAATATCTAATGGGATGGATTCTACTTGAGTATTGATTTAGAGAGTAATATTTCATTTTCTATGGTTTGGCAACAATCCTGGGGTAAAGACCACCACTTCATGGCAATCGGCGCAACCACCATGTCGTTGATAAATTTGAGATCACCACGAGCATCGCCTCACTTGAAAAATCAAAAGCCGTCCTAACGTTTTGTTCAACTATCTCTTCAACCAATGGCTCCGATTCAAGATGCTTGTTTGTAATTCGCCGAAATTGATGAGCTATGGCGGCGGCTAGCAGCTTCCATCAGGCGGCTATATTGGTGGCCAACAGCTTCAATTGGGCGGAGGGATGTGGAGGTGAAGGAGATAGTATATAGCAAGGGAGAAGGAAGATGTAGTGTAGGCAGGGGTGAGCAAACCGGGTAACCGGTCAAAATTTTAGGATCCGGACCCGGAATTGGTTGGGACCGGGTCCTAAAATTTGGAACCGGTACAACCGGATCCTAAAATTTAGGAATTGGAATTGGTTCCACCGGGTACCGGTTCCGATTCCGGATACCCACTTATATATATAAGTGTTGAAATATAATACAAATCATAATTTTTTTTTTTGGTGTATTTTTACTTTTAGCATTTAATATTTATATTTTTATATCCATTAAGCTATTTTAATTATATTAAATATTTATATACATTAAGCTATTTTAATTATATTAAATATTAATATTTTTATTTTATTTTACTAATTAGTTACGTTCAACATATTTTTGTTTTTTTAAATATATTTTGTACAATATATGTTGGGTAACCGGTATAGTAGAGCAGAGAGAAAAATCTAGAAGTTTTAAGGTTTTGTTTGATAGTGGGTTGAGAGTTTTATAAGCAATTGAGCTTAGAAATTAAAATGGGTTGTACATAACTCTTTAGTTTCTTAAAAACACAAACAATCCACATACTATATCATATACAAGCGGGTACCTAGTGGGTATCGGGTCCAAAATTTTAGGATTTGCGGTCCCGGAACCGGTGAGACCAGTTCTGGGTCCGGTACCGGGTACCCTGGATCTTTGCTCACCCCTAAGTGTAGGAGAGAAGAGTGTTTTTTTTTTTTTTTTCTTCTCTTCCTATAGTGGAAATAGTTATGCCAGGGAAGAGGTGGGTAATTATTAACCCCTTTTTAGGAGAATAGATTACCGCACTAATTAATTACCCTAGGTCCAAACTTTTATAAAAAAATCGAGAATTATTACTCATGTATTTTTTCCCCTTCCATTACACACATTCCAGGGAGCCCCTAAATGGCAGATAATCCCTTCCGAACAAGTAAATCATATTCCACAATTTCATAATTTCGAATTGCATTCACACTCACTGATACTAACTAGTAATTGAATAATAACATCATTGGCAAACTTTGAGCCCCAATTAACGATAATTACGACACTACAGCTCGAATAAATAACAATTGCAAAACCCACCAACATTAAAATTAAATTAAAAAGAAGAAATTACATAATACAGATCGCCAATAACAGAGATGAAATGAATTGCTTCAGATATGTGGATGTCCTAACGTCTTAAGCTAGAAGAGATTTTCTCCCCATGAACTACCGTACTTTTCTTCAACTTGATTATGTTTTCTCTCTCCTTACATTCTAGAACCCCTCCATACAGAGTTAAAGAAACATTAACGTCCGTCAAAGACCAATATCTAACGGTGTAAACATTGTAAAGTTTGTCCACCTCAGCATTAGAATATAAAAAACATAAAGAGCTAACTCCAAGGCAATTTATTACAACAATGCCACTACACTAACGACATTCATTAATATTATTGGGTATTAATGGGGACCGGCTCAATAAATTAAAGACAGGTCCCAAGAAGAAGAATTCGGCTAGACCATATATAAATATATTATTTAAATTAGTGTGAAATAAAACATGCGCAAAATCAAAGGTACCACTAGGAGTCTAGGAGTCTTGGTCTTACTAGGAGTAAAGAGTATGTACGTCTCCTAGCAACAAAATCCATAAGGGAAAATTAAATAGGGCGATTAGACCGTTTAATTATTTTTTGTTTTGTTTTGTTTTTTTGGTATTATTTCTAGTGCAATTTCATACCGCACTAACGAAAAAGACCTAAATAAATATCTCCAAGTAGAAGTGTGAAAAGGCATGAGAAACGGCAAGATCTATAAACAGTAAAATGTCATGGAATCTATATATATAATATAATTAATCATCAAAATAAGTATAACTTAGTTGCATGCTTATTACAATAATACGAGTATCATGAAAAGAAGTTACGAGAACCCTTCTTCATCTTCAAAGCATCCGCAACAAAGAAACAGTAGTAGATCCCATTTCAATCAACTTTGCTCCAATCTCACTTCTATCATTCCTCCTCAACATTTTCAAAATTCAGTGGTGAGCATACAATCGAATTCGTATACTACCTCCATTAAATATTAGTTGCAACTTTTGAATATTTTATATCTTATAAATAATAGCCCAAAGTTGCAACTAATAATTAACGGAGGTAGTATATTATTTCCTCCACTGTAATTAATATGCTATATTTCAAGCTTGATTTTGTGCTACCGACCTGCTACGTATATAGATTCAAGCTTTTCATCTTGAATGCAATTATACAGTTTGCTGGTCATATTGTATTTAGGTTTATTTTTCATGTCCCATAAAAAAATATAAATATAAATATAAATATATAAAAAAAAACCAAGTCAATTCACTAGTCAAAGTTGTAGGGAATAATATGTAAAAGGAACCAATAAGTCAAGTCACTTGTCAAAGTTGTAGGTAGAGGGGACCTTCCACCGGGGCCATTTGAGACCCAACCCTCGATAAAATTATTATAATTAATTAGTTAATAAACTTAAATAACCTTATTCTAGTTATAAATATTAGGACATAGCGATTAAGATCCGCCACTGGTTGTAGGGAATAATAGGTTTTTTTTTTTCTTTTTCTCTTTTTTTTTTTTTATGAAAAAAATACGGTATATATTTTTAAGCTGTAGATGTTGCCCTAGATCGATATTGTGGATTTAATTCAAGGACTAAGGAAAACCTAGTATTCATGAGTATTTTTAATTTAAAGTTGATAATAACCGCCTTTAGTTGTTCAATTAATCGATATTTTAGAGCATATTTTACAGAGTTATATATGCATGCTATTTAACAAGCTAAACTTTGTTATATATATGTAGGATATGCTATGTCAAGCTGATAAGATAGAAAAAGCAACAAGCTACATAGTGGATTTGAGAGAAAGAGTAGAGAACTTAAACAAGAGAAAAGAGCAACTAATGGTTAACCAAGAAGGAACATCCTCAAATACGACGATGATGACAAATTCTGGCACCAGATTGAAGTGAAAGATTTGGGTAGTGTTATAGAGGTGCAACTGGTGGTGCAACAAGACCGCGATATCAAATTACATGAAGTGATTAGGGTTCTTGAGGAAGAAGGGGCTGAAGTTGTCAATGCTACCTTCTCAACTTCTGGGAACTATATCCTCCACACTCTCCATGCTAGGGTATTTATGCTAAATTTTATATCGAAATATTTATTTGATTTAAAAATAATATAGAGGTCAAGTGAATTTACGTAATGTGTTACAAACTAATTTTGTTTTAATTATGTGTTATTTGAACTAATAATTTCTGAATTCATGAACTGGTTATTTTTATTTTCAATTTTGTAAGGAGTATTAAGTTTAATACGGAGAATGATCCAAAGTGAAATTACAAATTCTCCAAAAAGGTGGGTATACCTTAATTTATTGTAAGACGAGTTAAAGTTATGTTAAAAGTATTTAAAGTTAACCTTTATACTACAAAAGTTAATTATTTTTAAAATAATAAATTTTATCTTACAAAAAACTTATAATGTATTAGATTAATCATATTAGCCTTTATAATATGTAATCATGAATTTATAAAAGCTTATACATTAAAATAAAATTCAAACCAACGACAAATTAAAAGTTATCCTTTAAGGGGTTAAAGTTACCGTAAAAATAGTTAAAGTTACTCTTAAACTGACCATCTTACAATATAATTAACGTACACCCGCCTTACATAAGACTTATTGAAGTTAAATAAAACGCTAATTTCTTTTTACAAGAAAGATAATTTTTTTTTATTTTTTTTAATATAATCCATATAACATCTAAAACGGAATTTCTTCCTAAACATGAACAGCTAGATGAAAAATAAAACATTCAATCACATTTCTTCTCTAAACATCAAAGCAAATAGCTGTATATATACATAGTAATTAATCACAAACTTAAAAAAAAAAAAAAAAAAAAAAAAAAACGGATATACAATAACTATTGTACATCTAGTGTAAAGTTGCCTTAAAATAATCAAAATTTACCCTAAAATATTAAAAAGTTACCTCAATATAAATAAAAGCTACCCTAATATAAACAAAATTTATATATGATTTATTGGTAAAGTTATTCTATGTAAATGAGTAAAAATCAAATCTAAGTGAGTGAAAGTAATTATATTATTACCCTTATAAAATTTATCCCATTGCCTATTTATATTAAAATTACACCATGTTTAAAGTTACCCAAAAAAGGTTAAAAGTTACCCTATATTGACTAAAAGTTACCGTAAATTAAAACTTTCGATCGATGTAAATTAATATTATTGTAAATTGGGTTATACATAAGCTTTTGGTAATTAATAATGGCATAAATTACTGTAAATAAGTATAATTAGATGAAGGAGGCTTTCACTTGAAGCATTGTAGTATCAACATGTCACAAAATGTAACATTATGTTAGTCATAATATTATTAAATTAGATCAAATGCTAAACTAAATGTGCAACTTTTTTAAAAAAGTTATAAGGATTTATATGAGTACACCATACCTGTTTTCTTTGTATACCGGAGTACAATATACTTCGTATATAATTTGTATTTTTTCTAAGAATTACAAAAACATTTTCAGCATTGAAAAAAATTATGCACATTCAATTCAATTGAAAAAAAAAATGACATTTATTCTTCGTTTTCATTTTAAGAAATTTCTCATTAGATTCCAACCTTTTTTTTTTAAGGAAGATTTCAACCCTATCTAATACCTCCCTTTTATATTTTTTTGACTCACTTATTGCAAATATATAATTCAAGAAAAAAAATTGAAAATGTTGAGTGGGTGTAAAAAAAAAAAAAAAACTAAAGAGAGAGTGTGAAAAAAATGGGTAAGTGCAAAGATAATGTAGAATATATATAGGCGTGTAAAAAGGTTAGTAAAATATAAGTAAATACAAACATTTAAAAAAATCGGATGTACAATAAAATATTGTACATCCGCTATAAAGTTACTTTAAAATGATCAAAAGTTACCTTGTAATGAATGAAAGTTACCCATATATATAAGTTACCCTGATATAAATAAAAGTTATTTATGTTTTATTGACAGAAGTTACCTTAAAAAGTCTAAAAGTTACCCAAAATTCAATAAAAGTTACCTCGATATACAATAATAATACAGTACATCGGATGTATACATAAGTTTTTTATTAGTAAAATTACGTGAAAATGCAAAGGTATAAATATTGTAGGAGTAAAAGGGGTAAGATTGTAAAAAAAAAAAAAAAAAAAAAAAAAAAAAAAAAAAAAAAAACTACATATGTCAAAAATCTACCTTCAATTGGTTGTTTTCACATGTTTGAAATTTGCTACAGTAATTAATTGGAAAAATTGCCAATGGCTAGGGGTGGGACTTCGGTCTGGCAGTTCGGTTTGACCTCAGTTTGAAACGGTTTCGGTTTGCGGTTCGGGTTAAAACGGTTTCATTTAGACGGCGGGTCGGTTCAGTTCGGTTTTGATTAGTCACAGGTCGGTTCGGTTTCGGTTTATTTTTGTACGATTTAAGTTCGGTTCGGGTCATAAACGGTTCGGTTTATAAACAGTTTGGGTCATAATCAGATCGGTTAGAAACGGGTTGCTTCAGGGGCGGATTTACTCGGGTCAATGCCGGTTCGGTTTTTAAACGGTTTGGTTAATAATCGGGTCGGTTTGAAACAGGTCAGTTCAGGGGCGGGTTTACCCGGGTCAATGCCCGTTCGGTTTATAAACGGTTCGGGTCATGATCTGACCGGTTTGAAACGGATCGGTTCAGGGGCGGTTTTACCGGGTCAACGTCGGTCCGGGTTCATATCGGTTCGGGTCATGAACGGATTATTTTAAAATGGGTCGGTTCAGGGGCGGGTTTACCCGGGTTAATGCTAGTTCGATTCATATCGGTTCGGTTTATACTCGGTTTGGTGCTAAAATCGTTCGGGTTAGTTTGGTAATCGGTTAAATTGGATCGGGTTGAAATCGAGTTCTAAAAAGTGGTTTTGACCAGTTAGTGCGTTTTGTTTTATATTAAGTTGGGACTAGTATTTCCATTTCATTAGCGGGTCGGCATAGGTTGGTGAAAAAAATAATGGATCGAGTAGAAATTGGGTTTTAAGAGATTTTTGACCGGTTAGCTATTTTCGTTTTATATAAAGTTGGGACTTCGTCACTTTATTTTCAGACATCGGATTATATACAATTACACAAATCTTCATTTATTCAATTATTCTATATCATGTTAATATGTTATGTTTCAAGTTTGGTTATACTCTTGTTGTTGTTTATTCGATATTATCATATTAGTCTATTACAAATTTATAATGTATTAATGTATTATTGTTTCATTATTAAATATATATTATTAGGTTATCAGCTTCTTGTTGGATTGTTTTAGATATCGTGTCATGACCATGTTTTGATGAGTTGCTACTTTGAATACGATAAATCGATTCAGATATCAGATTATATAGAATTATAGAAATTCTCATTCATTCTATATCATGTTAATGTGTTATGTTTCAAATTTGGTTATAGTCTTGTTGTTGTTTATTAAATATTAGTCTATTACAAATTTATAAGGTATTAATGTATTATTGTTTCATTATCAAATATTATTAGGCTATCAGCTTCTTGTTTTAAAGATCGCGTCATAATCATGATTTGATGAATTGGTACTTTGAATATGATAAATCGATAATTGATATTGTAATAAACTAATAATTTAATGTTACGGAACTATATTTGGATGTTTAATTAAAATCACGATTATTCAATTTTCCATTAGTCTAATAAAGTAATAATTGACAATTGTTTGTAACTATTCCATAATTTTGGTGTTAAAGTTATATTGCTGAATTACTTTGTTGTCTTACCCTCTCTAATCACCTTTTAAGATTACGTGCTTACAAGGCTGCAACATATATATGTTGCAACTTGCAAGTTAAAGAAAACGGGTGGGGAAGTAGAAGTATTCAATTAGATCGATCATCAACTGTTTTAAGTTTTAATAATCAGATACATTTATCGATTATCTATACATATCAATGATAGTATGATACCAATCGTACCATACATTATTATTTATTACATATACTGATATACATATAACTAATATACATTAAATATGTCATATTGAATCAATTCCAATTTCCAAACATTTGTGTTTCTTACAATTTATAAGTTACATAAAGTTAAGAGTACAGTAGTGTTTTTATTAGTACGTAGCTATGAATAAAAAAAAAACATATTATCCAAATCCATTATCCCATGATCCGTGTCACCGTCTTATATTAAATATCAGCCATTGATTTGCATGTCATCTAACGACCTATCATCGCACACATTCCAATTCACGATCCGTGTGTTTTCTTTTCCACCAATCAGATCACTCTTACCATCGTCTCTTTAGTACTCTTTTTGATTTCTCTCTCGTTTTCTTAATCCTCTTCTGTAATATTATCAATTTTTTGAAGCCATGGCTGCTAATATGCTCACTGCTCTCTCGTTTTCTCTCTCATCTCCTCTTCCTTCTTCCTTTCTTCTTCTTCCTTCTTCTCCCTTCTTCCGTCTATGTTCTCCTTTCTTCCATCTCGTTTCTCCGTCTCCGTCCACCGGCACCACGCACGACGGTTTTTATGGTCAAATTCGACCACGAAACTCTAGATCTAGTTGTTTCATGATCGAATTTGGCCTTTTAAAACCAAATTCGAGGCCAAATTCAGGATTAATATATAAGGTGTTTTCGTTCTTCCTTTTTATATTTTCTGTTTTTCTTTTAATTTTTTTTTCAAGTTGTGGGCAACGGAGGGGGCCGAGTTAGGGTGGGTGCGGCGGCGGTTAGACTGGGTTCGGGTGGGTGGGGAGGGAGGATTTTTCGAGGGAGGGAGGGAGTTTTATGGTGGGTGAGCAATTAGAGTGAGTTGGGGGGTTTCGAGGATGTTGGGTTTCGTGGGGGTGGGTGGGGTGGGGTTACGGTGGGTTCGGGTTTTTTTTCGATTTTTTTGTATGGGGTGGGGTGGGGTGTGTTACGGTGACGGTGGTTGGTGTGGTTGGGGTTGGGTCTGGTTTTTTTTTTTTTTTTTTTTTTTTTTTTTTTTTTTTACAGTGACGGTGGTGGGTGGGGTGGGGTGGGGTTTGTTAAGGGGGTGGGGTGGAGTACGTTACGGTGATGGTGGTAGGTGGGGTGGGGTATGGGTCTGGGTTTTTATTATTTACGGTGACGGTGGTGGATGGGGTGGGGTAAGGTTTGGGTCTGGGTTTTTTTATTTATGGTGGGTGGTGGGGTGGGGTGGGGTGGGTTACGGTAATTATGGTGGGTGCGGGGGTGGTGTTAGGGTGGGTCTGGGTTGACGTTGGTGGGGTGGGGGTGGGTTACGGTAACGGTGGTGGGGTGGGGGTGGGTTACGGTAACGGTGGTGGGTGGGGGTAGTGTTAGGGTGGGTCTGGGGTGACGGTGGTGTTAGGGTGGGTTACGGTGGTGGGTGGGTGGAGGGTGGTTGGATTGGGTGGGTGGCCAAATTTTTTCATTTTTTTATTTAATTTATAACTCCTAATTTAGTTATACAAGAATATAATTTTAATTTTATAATAGCAAAAAAATTTACAAATTTAAATCAATAATTATATGTAAAAAAAATTGTACTGTTAAATTACATTAAACATCAAATATATTTCGTGGAATTCTAACAAATTGTTAAAGGCTGTAAATAGTTCAATTTGAATGGAACGGGTTGTAAACGGTTCGGTTTAAATAGTTTGTAATCGGATCGGTTTAAACGGGTTGCGGTTTGAAAATAGTTCGGTTTAAACGGTTTAATGGGTTATAACAGTTCGGTTTAAACGGTTAGCGGGTTGTAAATGGTTCGATTTAAACGGTTTTTTCCTACGATTTAAACGGTTTCGGTTTATAAACGGTTCGGTTTAATTAGTTAGCGGGTTAACATTAATCGGTTCAAACGGTTTCGGTTTATAAATGGTTTGGTTTGTAATTGGTTTACGGTTCGTAACGGGTTAACATTAATTGGTTCGGTTCGGTTTCGGTTTGACATTATACGGTTTAGTTCGGTTTTCGGTTTAAAATTAGCGGGTTATAAACGGTTCGGTCCGTGATGGTTCGGTTCGGTAACGGACGGTTTTACGGTTCGGTTTGAAAAGTCTCACCCCTACCAATGGCCCATTCTTTTTAAATAATACAATCTTTGGATTATACCTAAATATTACAACCTTTAAGAGGTCTCAATTTTAAACAAGACAAAATTTGCAACCGATTAAACAGATTGGCCAAGACACGTATTGTCATATAATTGGTGACTTCTTTTTTTTTCCTTCTCTTTCTTCTTTCTTTCTCTTTCCTCTTCCATACTTCTGCCCACCTTCCTCTCCTCGCTGCACCTCCCTTTCCGGCCACCCGCTGCCCCTGCCCACCTCCCTTTCTCTTTCCCGCATCCCTTGCCTAGCATGTCGCTGTCCCCCCCTCCGTCGAAATCCAGAAAAAACCCACCACCTCTCTCGAAAACAACTGAAACGCCCACCCTTCTTCCTTCGAATCAAAATGCAACCTCCAATTGATGTTGATTTGCGATTGTTCCTGCTGATTTTGATTTGCGATTGTTGTTGATGTTGATTTAATTTAGACTACCAATTGATGTTGATTTGCCGTTTCGGTGGTGATTGAAGGGAGTATATGAGAGAAGAAAAAGGTGGCGGCGGTGGTATTAAGGGTAGTAAGGGTGGCCGTTGAAGGGTATGAGAGAAAATGGGGTGGTGGTGGTATAAAGGGTGGAATGGTGGTGTTGGATGAGACCTGAGAGGAGAGAGAGGGTGGGTCGACCGGCTGTGGGGGAGCTGGGCGTCGGTTGTACCGTCGCCGAGGAGGGTTGCATGTGGTGGAGGGAGAGAGGAGGTGGCTTTGTGGTGGCGGAAGTGATGGCTCGGTGGTGGGTGTTTTTTAAAATATTTTTATTAATAATAATATTAATAAATTAATGATAATTAATTAATTAAATTGACAAAACTAATAAAGCAATGACACGTGTCATGGTAACCTGTAAAAACAGGTTACCAACCGGTTATGTCTTGTTTAAAATTAGCACCCCCAAAGGTTATAATATTTAGGTATAATTCAAAGGTTGTATTATTTAGAAAGAATGGACCAAAGATTGTATTATTCTTGGCAATTTTCTCTAATTAATTTAGAACTGTAATCTATAACTAATACTAAAGTAATTACCGTTAAAACCGTCACTATATACGTGGCAGCTTCTTATAATAAATTTTTCCTCCAAAACTATTATTGACAATATTATTTTATTTTAACTTTTTTATTTTTTATTAACTTTTTCAAGGTAAAGCTAATATTTAAAAATTATTTATTAATTATACATTTTTCTAAAAGGATTTATAATTAAATTGACTAAATACACAATTTCTATTCCTATATATTGAGTAATAATAATTGACAGTTGGTCTCTTTCACATTCTTTTTTTCTTCCTACATAGGTTTTTTTTCAAAAAAAACAATCTGCTACATATTATTAGTGATTGTAATTTTGTAGAGTTTGGATTTTTCACTCTTTATTAATTCTTCAAATTTTCTATAATGAATAAAAACGAACGCTAACATATTTAAAATTTTATTATACCTATGAAGTAATTAGAATATTTAACATCGTGTCCTTCATTCTAGCTTAATTAATCTAACGAGAGGGGTCATGATTTGTTATATTTTGCTTAGAATATTTATATTACACACTTAAAATTAAATTTTTTATTATTAAAATCGTGCATCGCACAGAATTAAGCTAGTAATTATATAAACTACTCCGTAATCCGTATTCAATATGTGGCAATTAGATAAACCGACCTTAATATTTGTAGCACTTAATGTCAGATTGAGGAAGTATAACATGGAAATTTGTCTTATTCTACAGGCTCGAAATACCAGAATTGGAATTGGGACTTCCAGAGTGCAGGAAAGATTACATGAGCTGATTTGATCTTGTGTATTTTGAGTTTCATATAAAGATATACGTAGTATGTATCATTTTTTACCGTTGATTTTAAGGGTGTTTAGTGTTTCTACATTTGCAAGGTTAATTGTTTATGTTACTTCGTACGGAGTACATTTTAGATAAAGACTTTCTCTTGTCAAATTTATTGTTTCCTATAGATTTTTTTTAAAGGGATAATATTTCCTAAAATTTTATTCTAACTATTATGGAGCATTTTATATTTTTTTTAATTTTACTCTCTGGAGTCTGGATATTACTATCTTTTTTGACACACTAGATATTACTATCTTAAGTTTATTAATTTGTGAGATTTTACTACCGAAACTGATTTATTTTCGGCAGCTAATCCGACCAAATGGGATCTACGCACTGGTTTACCCCCATCCCCTTTTGCCCGCTTGATCTTTTAATTTTTTTTTTAAAAAAAGTAAGATATATGAAGGAGATTAGTCATGTCTTCTCGCAAGACCGTGACCTAAACTATCAAGGAGTAAAAATAAGAAATTTTACTTTAAAAAAAGGATTTATATCTTGATGAGTCGGAGCAGAAATTCCAAGAGAGGCAACATAATTTGCTGCCCGATTGCCTTCCTGATAGATATGCCCTGCCTGAAAACTCGAGAAAGAATCCAAAATTGTCTTGATATCCTCCATAAGAAGATGAAATTTTCATGGACAGCTAAAATGACCCAATAAAATATTGATGACAGTTAGATTATCACCTTCAATTAAAATAATCGGGAAATATTAAATTCCCTAGTCAGTAAGAGCCCATTGCGAAGGGCAATAGCTTTTGCAAGGAAGGTCGGACAAGTGCCTAAATTGTAAGTACGATTGCCCACATGATTACCCAAGTGGTCCCGAATTACAACACTTAAAGTAGCAGAATTCTGATTAACTAAGTCATCAAAATTAAGTTAACAATAACTAATGGGGGAGGAGATCGACCAAGAGATGATGGGAGAGGGAGTGGGGGGGGGGGGGGGGAGGCGGAGGGGTTGCAATAGTAGGAATATGGATGGCATCAAGAAGAGAACAAAATTCCCATTCCTTAAACAAAGAGAAAGCTCAAACAAAAACACTATGAATATTAGCCGATGGATTCTTAAAAATAATTGATCTTTAATAGAGTAGTAGATCCATTAACCTTAATTATATGGTGAAACTTATGACCCTTCTTCACAAAAAAAAATAAAAATAAAAATAAAAAAAATAATGAAACCTATAACCCAAAGCTCAAATTTTTATTTTATTTTCAACAAAATCTAATAAGAGAGCTGGGATTTGCCCCTTCCACGCCCAAACCTCCCCCCCCCCCCCTCTTGACTTTTACTCCCAAAACTTATAACTTTAAATTGAGCACTGTACTATTTGTGTTAATTACCAAGCTATATTTTTTTTATTTGTAAAATAACTCAATTTGAAGAAATCCTCGATTATTTGCATAAGCACTCTTATGTTTTAGGTTTTGAATAGGATGAACAGCAGTCATTTTGCCCTAAAAATAATGTGAATGGTGATAATAAATGAGTGCAATAATATGAAGGTAATAATTGTGGCAACTTGGGCTCAATTTTAATAATTGATGAAACTCCCAAATTTTTATATGAATCAAAATACATAACCATAAATAAAATTTTAAGGCAATTTTTATAGTTTGATATGCTTTAATTTAAATGATCACCAATTTTTTTTTTTTTTTAAACAAAGGTAGCATAGATTACTTTGGCTAAAGCCCTAAATATATTACATCTATCCTAAGCATTAGAAGCTTGCATAAGCTCAAAATGCAAGCACATAACAGAGTTCATCAAAAGACTAACACAGTAGCAAGTTTCAAAGTTCATACAGACAAAGCATAAAAAAGACAAAGAACTAATTCCGCTATGGGAGAGGCTGAACACCCATTGCACGAAAATCTGCATCATAAGTTGCCTTGGCACTAGCTGAAACTACATAGTGGGCTTGTGGCCAATTAATATGCATATCCATGGCATACTTAGATAAGTAATGAGCCACGAAGTTAACTTCCCTGGGAATATGGCTGAGGATAACAGTCATATCCCTATTCCTTAGCAATCTGGCTACATCAATAACCACAGCAACAAGGTCATGGTGCATATGATCAGATTCCTTGTTTAGCATCCCTTTAATGGCTTCAGCATTCGTCTCCACCTCCAGAAATTGGACAAGAATGGCTCTAGCATAGTTTAGCCCTTCGCGTAAAGCATAAAATTCTGCAGCCAAGGCAAAGGGAGCATTATATTTGCTGGAAAACGCAAAGTACCATTCCCTTTATCCGTTCTAAAAACTCCACCTCCCCAACCTTCTTCAGAATTCTTCCATGCTCCATCAGTGTTGAGCTTGAGAAAACCAGCTATTAGAGGTCTCCAACTGGGGATAATGGTAGAGGAACCTTGAGAATAAGTCATTTTCTCCTTTCCTTTTGCATTTCCCTGTAGCACAAAGGTGTTGATTTGGTAGTCAACTATAAATCTGTTAAACACAGAGTTACAATTGTATATATCATTGTTTAAAATAACACCATTCCTTAACTTCCAAATATGCCACATTGCCATACAGAAAATGGCTTTCCATTTTTGAGTTTGAGACAAATTAAACTTTAAACAAATATTCCAATCATAATTCATGAATATATTGTAATTGAATTTTGGTGGGGGTTTAACTTTTTGGAAAATCATTTTCCACAAGATGATAGAAGAAGTGCAATCCCTGAACAAGTGAATGAATGACTCAGAGGTAGAGTGGCATCTTGAAGAAGAGCTATCAAAGTTTGGAATTTTATTAGCAAGAAGAGAAGCTGTAGGGATAATAGAAAGGATGCAATTCCACATGAACATTCTGTATTTAAAAGGGACTTTGATTTTCTAGAATGATTTCCAACTGAAGGAGAAAGGTAAAGGAATGGAAGAGGGAGTAGTGGGCACGAAGTGGGCTGATTTAATATTGAACACACCAGACACATGATGCTACCATCTAATTTGATCAGGGGAAGAAGAAGAATCAATGATGGAAAGAGGAGTGCTAAGAATGAGGCTACAAACATGAGCAGGAAGTAGATGCTTGATATCATCAATATACCAGTGCCCACTCCTTATTATATTTGAAACTCTCTAATGGAATATAGAGTTAGGGACATCAGTGTGAATAAGTTTGTAGAGAGGAGCATCCCCAACCCAATGATGATACCAAAGAGAAGTGTCCTTTCCATTGCCTATCCTAACAATCAGCCCTTAAGAAAGCAAGCTTCTACCATATCCCTCCACATTGGGGATTAGGAAGAATTAGGAATGCAATCAAGAAGATTGGATCATCTGAAATATTTATCCTTTAGGATGTTAACCTATAGCTTATCAGGTTGGGTTAAAATAATCCATCCCAATTTGGCCATTAATTTTAAACAATCCATCTTGTATGTGGTTGGCCACAATGTGTGACCTGTTGTAAAAGATCAAAGTAACCCCTGTAACATTGATCGATTAACCCCTATAATACTAACCAAGTAACCCCTGTAACATTGACCGAGTAACCCCTGTAACACTAGCGAAGTAACCTCTATTATTATGGCTAGCCACATGGTGTGTCCAACCACAAATAAGAATTTGTGAATTTTAAAACATATCATTAATATAAAATTTTTATCTATACAAATAAATCATATGTGTCAATCTAATGGTTAGTTGTTACCTACGTGGCACGATACTTACGAAAAGTTGGAATGTCATATCTCTTGCCCTAGCTAATCGTACAGCTTAAGTTTTGTTATATTGCGTGACTTGATTAATCATACAACTTTATATTTTAAAAAAAATGAATAATTAATATTTTATGTCTATTAATAAATATATCATAAATATATTTATTTTGAAGTAATCTTTAACACAATATTATGATATATAAAAATAAATTTATAAGATAATTTTTGAGAGTTATAATCTAATTTTCTTTGAATAAAATTATAATTTAATTCCTACATATGAAATATTGGTATTTTATCGAAAATTAAACTCTAAACCAATAATTTTATCCTAAAATTCTATCCAAATTTGATTGAAAATAAAACTCTAAACTAACTTTAATTTTTTATCCTACAAAGTCTAACTTGTAAGGCTTTACATTAATTCAATCAACAAGAACTACTTAAGAATGTGGGAACAAAACCTAAAAATGATGTATAATTTCAACTTAATTATACAACAACCAATCCTAATCAAAGTATTACAAACCAAGAACCAAATAAACAATGTAATTCAGAAATTACAAAAGAAAAACACTAATGTGAAAGATACTAAACTTGCCTCAACTCCAAGCCTTTGATGATGAACATGAACATGAGAATCTATATGACCACTTGAGTCTCAAACCTTGATACTCTGTCTTAAGCGTGTATACACTTTCCTAAAGAGGTTAATTTCCCCCACAACGGTGCTTGGGTTCAATCCGTAAATCCTCTTTGAGATACAAAAGACAGCACTTCGTTCTTAGCACAAAGAATCGAAATATAGATGATAAATTCACAAAATTTGGTTAAGTTTCAAGAATTTTCTCACAAAAGTTTGCAAGAAGTTTGAGAGAAAATGTGGAGAAAAGGTTGGGAAGAATTCTGTAAGAATGAATCCCTGTCTTCTTTCGTTAAAACGAAAAAAATTAGAAGCCGAGAAAATAACCGCAAAAAACCGCAGAAAAAGACGCAGTGCGGGCGCGCCAAATATAGGCGCGGGCGCGCCACAAGGAGGATCGGGCGCTCCTACAGGAAGAGCGGGTGCTCCTACCCAGTTCTGCCAACTTTTTGCATTTTTCCAGAGAGTTGGCACGATTTTTACGCGGTTTTGTCGCGAGCTGCGCCAACCTTGCGCGGGCGCGCTAAACATTGGCGCGGGCGCTCCAACCTGACTCTCTAAATCATCCGAAATAAATCAAATGATCACCATTTCTCTCATACACTCTAAATCATCTAACATAAC